CCCAGTAAAGCAAAAATGCACGTTTCAGAGTGGCCTTTTATTGTGGCCAGCCTAAGGCACACCTGTGCAATAATCATGCTGTCTAATCAGCATCTTGATATGCCACACCTGTGAGGCGGGATGGATTATCTCGGCAAAGGAGAAGTGCTCACTATCACAGATTTTTTCAGATTTGTGAACAATATTTGAGAGAAATGGTTATTTTGTGTATGTAGAAAATGTTTTAGATCTTTGAGTTCATCTCATGAAAAATGGGAGCAAAAACAAAAGTGTTGCATTTATATTTTTGTTCAGTGTAAGTAATCATGAAGATCAGATAATCTGCAAGACAGGGTTTCTTTTCACCAATACAACTATTGTAAAAAAATAAGCAAATATGAACTCAACAATACTTAGTATTTTTGTACAAAGCTTATTTTGAGATTAAGAAATAACCTTTGAATGGCTGTGGTCATATTGAATAAGGTTATCAGACTAAAATCCATCTTTAAAAGTCATTCATGGTGCTATTCAACAGCTGCTAGACCTCCAATGAGAAAACGCCCCCTCCAGTAAACAGGTTGTTTCTGAAAGACTAACCACCAATTCAAATAGTGTGAAGCAGGATATTTCATTAGATGTAATCATTTCCAAGAGTAAAGACATCCTATTATCTATCTTTATTGAATAATTGGTGACTTTTGGATTCGACAACGCTCTGGAGTTATTGGAAATGTTTGGATTCAAAGGTCCAAAGGTTTTATTGTCATATCCACAAAGCTACAGTGTAGAAATGGCAATGAAATTATTCTGACCTGAGCTCCTCCAACAATGCAACATATATAATAAAATACAAAATAATAAGGATCCCATGAGGTATGAAATAATCTTACGCAGCCCAGCAGTGGAATTTAAATTATGCAAATCGTACAAAACTAGAAATATCAGAGTAGCCACGCCTTTATCTGCAGCTGATCATAGAAACAAGCTTCAAGCAGAATATATAAGCATAAAACTTTTTATTACACTCGATTAGGTCAAAATCTAAAGTTGTAACCAAAGAGTGAAGCTATCGATGTGAGGGAGAATAGCAGCGTGCTCTTACCCGAGGCGTGTGTAGGGGTCAGAGGCAGCTGATCTGGGAGCCCCGAGTCCAGTGAATCTGTTGGGATATCTCACAGAGAGCGGAGCGCCCTCTACCACCAGGCCCTGAAGACACACATTCAACACAGTTAGCCCAAAACACACACACAGCTTCAAAAAGACAATGAGAAATGACTGAAAAGATTGATGTCAGAGTTGATTTGTGTAATGAGAAAACAATGCTGGAGTTTTAGAGAAGCACACTGACTTTAAAAAAGAAAAAAGTTGGCAGTCAAAGCTTTAAATTACAGAAAATCAAAGCTTTTCTTTAGTCCCCGACTTCCTGCTCTACTTAGATTATTGTACAACCTGCTAAATGTTGCATGCCAACACCTTTATATACACATAAGAATAATACAAAATAAACGATATACATTTAAATAAAAATATATAATTGTCTTCGGGAACCTGCAATTATTTTTTAAAGTTATACATAACCATCAGATGATACACACATTTATATCACAATTAACACCACAATGTGCTTAAAACTCTTAAAATGGCACCTGAAATGGGGCGAAGCCTGCGAGCTAGTTCAGGCAGTCAACTCGAGCACTTATTCTGCATTCATACATAACGCCCCTTGCCACTCTACGACCAACCAAACAGAGTCTTCTAATATGCCGCTCTATTTAACTTGCCAGATCTCTCTCTATGCTTTGCTTGCTGCTGCTGCTATTGCTGCAGCTACTTCTACGTCGCTGCTGCTTGCCTGCCTCACCAACACCCCAGCTTCCACCTGTAGGCTCGGGGGGTTAGTTATTTAATCATCACTCATTGTGCTGTGTATATCTGTGGAGTGATGAGGCCCGAGCCTAGACGCCAAACTCAACTATATGCTGCTTCTAATAAACGTGTTAAAGAAACACGTGAGTTGTCTGACTGAACTATCTTAAATGAGTTTAGCAGGACTCACAATTTGTTAAGAAACAGCTAGTGCCGTTGCTTCTCTAAGACGGGCAAGAAACACTTCCCTCATGAGAGTGTTCTCACCATCAACGTATTGCTGCCTATTGGATCTTGATCTCTGATAAATCCTATATCGCTCCTCCCTGCTAAAACCAGTCCTTAATTTTCTGGCTTGAGATTCAGGTCAATGTTCGATGTGATAAACACTTTGACTTTCTGCAGGGGAAAGGTCATTCTACTCTCTAAATAAAGATTACGGTTTACAACAAGAGATGTCACGATGTCATGAGCTTATTCTGCTGCTTCATCAGTGACACATCAGCTATACACCTCAATAAAGGATCAATCAAAAAGTGACATACATTGATACACTGGATAGCTCGATCGCAGTCTTCCTTTTTGGCGTAGTTCACAAAGGCACACTGCTGCTCCAGGAGCATCTTGATGCTGTACACCGTCCCCGCTCTGAGGGAGAGACGGGAGAGAGTGTGAGATCATGAGATGAAAACGGTATCATCGCTGCGGGGCTAAATGAAATGCTGAGGGAGGCGGTGGGTCCCTACCGGCTGAAGAGGTCGTGCAGGGTGGAGTAGGTGACAGTCGGAGCTAAGGATCCCACCCAAACAGACATGAGATCTCTGTATACAAAACAGAAGAGAATTTTAAATAATTTTGCACTATGGGTCAGCAAAAATATCCTGAAAACCCAAATCTAAAAAACAACAATATGAACATTTATAATAGTTTAATAATATACATTTTAATAATGTAAAATCATTACACAAATACAATGGAAAAAAGGGCAGGGATTCAAAATATTAGTATCAGGCATTATGAACCCTAATAATAATATTTAATTATTTAAAAAGCTTGTAGAAAAATTACTTAAATTGTTTTCTGACTTTTATTTTATTTTTCAAAATTGAGAAATTGTTGACAGCAAGGCACAAAATAAACACCAATAACTAGAAAAGTACCGGTAAAACCGACACAGAGAAGAACAATAACCACGTTAACTTCCTTCAGCACGTTAACACGTTAATGATAAGCAGTCTTACAGTTTCATTGCATTCCTGGAATGAGGCGTGGGCGACTGAGAATTGGATCTGCTGTGGCCAAAAGCATCAGACTCCTTGACCTGTTGCATTCTGGGACGGTTTGCCTGGCGGACGGTCCACTCGCCCTCATCGTCGTCTTCTTCCTCCTGCACCACAGGGGGCTCCAAGTCCACCCGACTGGCCCCGACATCTGAGGAGAGACAACGGTGAGTCGATCAAATCATTTTTATCCCCAGGGTTAATTGGATTAAGTGATAGTTTTAGAATAAAATTGAAATATTTATATTAAAATAAAGACATAAAAATGTGCACATTATACTAAAATAAATATGTAAACATGTATAACTGTATATTCTGTAGTGTATTAAATACCAGAACAATGTAGTGACAGTTGCTTTCCAGCTGTGGGAAACATTTCCAGACGTTTACCTCCAGGACAGAGTTTACCGTCTTCCCCCCCGAACAGAGCTTCCACAGCTTCCTCTAACGTGCCGTGTGTCTTCAGCGCCTCGGAGCTCTGCGCCCAGCTGAAGCCCATCTCCTGAAGAATGGAGACACAAAAACAAGCTTTAAAAAGGTCACCTATCATGCTATTTTTAGGCAATAGCATAGGTCTCAGATATATAAATTAAAAATATATAAAAAACATGTCTATGAAGTGTTTTGCTCAAAATATCAAATAGATCCCCCATTCTAGCCATGCCTCATATCCCTCTATTTCACTTCCTGTTTCAAAAGTGCTGATTTTGGCTATAAAGCTTCAAAAAAAAAAAAAAATTATAAAAAAGAAAAAAGGAGGGGGCTGAGCTCATGCGGGACCCGGTAGCTACTGTCTAAACTAAATACTGCCGTGATGAAACGCCATATCAGGGATTATCAAGGATTATTTCTGAAACAGTATGGAGCTCAAAGGCTTTCTCTCTTGCCGGTTATACCACAAGGTGAGTTCCTTTTTATTTCCTGCTTCTTCACACACATGCTCTCCAGTACAGGTTAGCTCTGAGTGTTAGCGATGCTAATGTAAACATGCACCGACCATATTACGTCCAAAACAGTCGGGCATTGTTTCTGATAGCAACGTTTCTGATAGGGCCGTGGGTCCAGATTTCAGATATTACGTCATATCGGAAAAAAATAGGAATAACAATATATATTTTTAAACTGAAAGA